ATTTTGGATTAAATTTTAAGTTAAATAATTTGAATGGACTTGACACTATGTGTATAAAACATTTGCTCAGACTTGTAAGAGAAAAAGGAAAATACATTAACATTGCTCTTTATAAATTGCAGAGCTACAGAAAGAAATTTACCATTTCTTTTTTAGTGAGAAATGTATAAAAGAAATATGAATCTGTCGGGTGTTCTTTTCATTTTGAGAGCTTGGTATGAAATCCTTCAAGTAATATCTGTATATCTTAAAAATATCATTCAAAAGAATGGAATAAGGTGTATAGGTACTAGAAATTTTATCAGCACAGAAAACAGAATCTGCGTAGTCTGTTACATTAACTTTCACACAAATGACTTGAAAAGCCATGAATCCAAAGAATTAAATATTAGAGTAGATTGGGTTCTCGAACCTTGAGTTATGGTTAGTTTAAGAGGACTGATTGATTGTTGCAGTTTTAATAGCATATCAACTCTTATCAGTTATTTCATGCTGAAAAGATTTTTCTTATATATATATATATATATATATATATATATATATATATAGCTTGTAAACAAATCCTCTTGGTTGTTGTTTCCATCACTCTCCAGTTATAATTTGTGATATAAATCAATCTCCTTTAAGTAGGCTATGATAGTCTTTACTCTTATTTTCTCTGACTAACCATGTCATAAAAATCATTGACGTATAGTGGCAAGGGCAATACAATCGGCAAGACGGTTTTATAGCATATGCATTCGGGAGGATGTTTATTTCTTTAGGATAGAATGAGTGAGTAATATACATATGTCCTATTCTGATTCTAGATAGGAAAACTTCCTTCCGACACATTCTCCTAAAATGGGCTTAATTTTGTAAACTTTGTTGTTTGGGTGGTAGTTTTGGTTTATTTTGTTTTATGACATATCAACACCTCAATGGGCTATTTAATGCTGCTAAGATTTTTAGAATAGATTCGTATGAATAAAATATATATTCTTTGTAAGAAATCAATTTGTAGGAGATTAGGTTTCATTGACGTATTTTTGTAAAGAAAGTTTTTGTAGAGTCTGGTTTCATTGATGTATTCTTTTCAGATATATATTTTGTAGAGAAGTTTTATTAACATTCTTATTTGGTATATATTTTTGGTAGAGGTTTCATAACTCATCACTTGTTTAGAATGTATGAGTTTATTGATAATTTAAAGTCTATATAGAGGACATTCAAATTTAAAATGTTCATTTTTAATGATTCCTTTGCTGCCATATCAGTTTTTAAATTTATGCAAATGCCGGTATGGCTAGGTACCCAACAGAAGACAATTTTATTTCTTCTTACAGATGAAATTGATTCTGCTTTGTAATTTAACTTTTGAAAATAGAGACATTTTGCCGATTTCGCAAAATTTTGGCCATTTTTTCACTGACTGCAGTTTAGACTTCCTCAAATTTTGTAACAAGCGCACTCCACAGGGTTTATTACAATTTTGGTAACACGTTAGTTTGAAAGTTAACATTCTAAGCTTCACTTTCATATATTTTATATTTTTTAATTTTAATAAGAAGTTTGTAAACAATTCAAATGAAAAGTTTGATCGTAAAATTCAAATGCTTCTTGTAAAAATAAAAACACATAAAATATATCATTAAAACGCTCATTTAATAATCTATGAAACTAAATCCAAATCAAATATGAAACGATAGCTTCATTTTGCGCATGTGCGATTATGTGTAACCATGTGAGACTCACTCAGCCATCATTTCAACCCCATGCGACAGTCAATACACAGCATCAACACAGACACCCAAGAATCGACCAGCATGTTTTCTATGGACACAATTTTCAAGGAAATTGGTAGGAATTTGTTTTAAATATTAATTTTTTATGATATGTAAAATGTAAATGGGATTTAAAAACCGTTTTCGTCATAAAAAATATGATACAAAAATCGATTTGTTTACTTTACGCTCAGATTCAAATCACAAAAAAACGTAGGACTTATTGATCGAAAAATGTTCATATTCAAAGAAGGATATAAAAAAACACTCTACAAAAAAATTCTAGAATGTCTTATGTTTTTGCAGTATTCTCACAATAATTATCAGCATTTCAGTTACCAAGTAACATTTTGTTTAAAGTTACCCCTTCAAACAATTTTCTTACTTTTTAAATTATCTAATGAATGGATTTTAGTTACGATTTATTGCTATCTAGATACAAATTTATGATTTAATATTCATTTTCCTAATTGATTATTATTTCTTAGTAATATTTATTTCATATGGATTATGATTGTTTATTTTATTCTAAAATATTTTAATGTGTCAGTTTTAAGGACCACTGTGGAAAAAGGTTTGTTGAGAAAATATTTTAGTGCTTCCTTATTTGTTACTCAGGTGTATGGATGACTCTAAATTTATATTTATCCCTGATTGTATTTAGTGTAAATTTTTTATGAACTGCAAATAAACTCAAATTCAGTAAGAAAATGTAGAAAATAATTTGCAGATGACTACTAAGTAGTACTTTGACAAAATGGAATAGGATTATAAATTCATTTTTTTTCTTTTTGTAGATGACGATGTACAGAATCAGTTACAACGTTATTTTATGACAAAAGAATGTGGAAGGAAGATGTCTTTGCCAAAAGTGGAATGTTCCAAGAAGGTGCTGCTTCAAATATATTCATTGAAAGAGAAGTATCAGGAAACCTGGGATTCTGTTATTACTTGGCTACATAAATTGTTCCCAATCTTTCCTAAGAACAGATGGGTACACCTTATTGAGAAAGTTGTAGCAGAAGTTCAGAGTTGTCCAAAAGCGGATCGTCCTGCATTGTACCATGAGGTAACAAATTTGGGATTCATAGGTGAAAGATGTGAAAGCGTTGTATTGACTCTCAGTGTTTTGTCAGATCCAACGCTCAGTCATAAGCTTTCGTGTGCGAAAGTAACAAATGAACTTATACTTGAATTATATAAAGTGGATACGCCAGCAAATATATACTCATCAGACTAGAAGAACTTGGGTAGTGCCTGAATTAGATTACCATTACTGAAAATTTCCAAATAAACTATATTTGATTAATTTTATGTCTGTGTTGTTTATTTTTATGTGCATAATGTAAGAGGAACATTACAGTTTAAAAATTGAGACAATTTGGTGATTTCATACTGCTTACATAATGATCGGAACTAACATGTGTCAGAACTTCAACCTTTTGATCAAATTGTGACAGATAAAATATTTTTATTTTAATGATTTCAGTTACAAATTTAGTGGTTGAATACCACTTCATGATAAGGTGAGTTTTCTGTTGTTTTCTTATGTTCATTAGTCGGTATTGCTTGGTGTGTATTAAGCTTCTCTCTTTCTCTCTCTCTCTCTACAGTCCAGAAATTGTACATGCTGAGTCAGGATTGTACTTGTTCAGCATCTGCTCCATATACATTCTAATCTGTTGATTTTAGGTCATTTTAACCATGATAAATGGGAAGAGCACCCCCAGAAATGGCTAGATATGAAATTTGGTGTTTCTAGTGCAAGAATTATTCATTTTATGACACAATTCAAGCAAGTCTAAAATTGACCTTTCAAATACCTTGTGACAAAGGGTTAAAAAGCAATTCTTTTCAATTTTGAAGTGGAATAATCCAGAATATACCCATTCTATCACTCCAAAAAAAAATTAGGCATGTTACTGGTATAGTCATAATGTAATATTTGAAATTTACGGATGAATGTGGGTCTTATTTCCAGTTTTATGAAATAAGAAACCTCAGGTTATGAGTTGTTTGCACATTATTGCAGAGGGTTTGATCTATAAAATTTGCATATTCAGACTGAATTTATTTAAGAAATATGCAGTGATACTAACTGTAATTTTATTATTAATTTCTTTGTTATGTACCCAACAAGCTAGTATAATTTTAACAGTTGTTCTTAATTGCTTTTTAAAATATAGGAGTCCAAATATGGTATTTTGTCCTCATTCATAATAGACAAAAAATGCACATGTGTAAAAATAAAAAGAAATCTTTCATCATATAGATTAAGAAGATGCAATCAGATAACACCTAGTACCTGTTTGAAATTTTCATCTGTGATACCTACTATTAAGAGATTGTTTTTATTTCTCAGTCATGTAAGTCCAGATAGTTGTCGAGCTCATTGCTTGTTATGGTGTCTAAAAATTCATCACCAAAAATAGATATTAAAAAAAGGAAATGGCAGAAAGCCATAGTTGCCTATATCCTGAAATGATAGAATATTTTAAAAAAGGATACCACAAAGACCATTTTTTAAAAAAAAAAAAAAAACATTTTTTTCTATATGATAAATAAATATCACCACTAATAGTTTGCTTAAAGATTAACTAATTGTTAAAAATGTCAATTTGAGGACAAACAAATTTATGTTATTAATAGATGGTATCATCTCTATGAAATTTTAAAATTCTTTTTATCAGTTTATCTGAATACAAGCGGATTTCAAAAAGGTAAAAGAATACAAGTGAAACAATTACAATCATCAAACTACGAGTATATAACTTTACATGATGACAACTGTAAAGTTTCAAGTTTTTTAAAAATATTCCAAATATTTGTAAAAATTATTTTTGACAATTGTTATGCAAAGCAGTCTAAGATAAAGAATTTTATTAATGAGAATAGGAAATTAATTCATGTGTTCTTCATAGTCATTAACTGCACAGAAACCAGCAACAAAGAAAAAAAAGAAAAAATCTTAAATCAAATTTTAAAATCTTCCATTTAGTAACCAGTTAGATCAGTTTCACACAGTGTCTTTCAAAGACTTTAAAAGCTGTTTTTGAAATATGAAGGATGGTAAAAAAATTAGGCCACCATAATGAACCAAGAAAGATAATCTAAAAAGCAATATCAACACTTGCAGTGTCGTCATCATCACCATCACCAATAACATCATAATTACATTATTATTGTCATCATCATCATCATGAACAGTAGTAAAGAGTGGGTAACTATAACACTTACCTCGTTGAAGTTCCTTTCCTTACATCACACATCTCACATTTGTAAGCTTCTGGGGAGTTGCGGTAGGTGCACACACTACAATCCCAGTAGCCCTCGTCTGGAGCTTTTGAATGTCTTTTTGACCTGTATAAAAAAGATGAAGGAATGAATGTGAAACAGAATCTAAGAAAAGAGGTCAATTGCCAAATGAGCCAATTCCTTCAGGGAAAACATGAGTAGATATCATTTATATGCACTAATGACTTCTGTATTATAAGGCTCTTTTCAATATTCATATTTTAGCTTTTATATTTCCTTGTACAAACTAATAAAAACAATGAAGTCTGCAAATTTTACTTTCTACTTAATATATGGGGTGTGCGCACATACATGTGTGTGTGTGTGTGTGAATTAATGTAGTTTTATGGTATGCTATATTTATGGGATAAAGTGCTCAATATCAGAGATAGAACGTATGTAAATATAAAAGTGAACATTGATGTCGACACTCAGCACAACAGATTGCTTCATGCTAAATGCTATCATCAGGCCACATGCGTTGTGTTTTTTTCTTGACTATCTATATATACAGGTCAGTGGGGCATTGTGAAGTCAATTCTAATGTTACTTAAAAATTGAAAACTGAAAAGAATAAATAAAATAAAAATAAATAAGCAAAAACAAGTAAAATAAATGAATTCAAATAAATAAACAAATTAACAAACCACTCCCTCCAAAATAACTCTTAGAATAGACTACCCACAATGCACCACTGCCCCCGTATATATAGTCGGGAAAAATCACAACGCAATTGGCTTGATGATTGCATTTAACGTAAAACAGTCTGTCACCTCCAAGTGTTGACTATAATGTTCACTTTATATATATATATATATATATATATATATATATATATATATAGGAAATGGATTAAATCTAAAGGTTATTTTTAATTTTTCTTTAAACATTATATTTTATAGATACTGTTTAATACTGTAAAAATAGCTTCTACTCAAATGAGTATCCATCAAAAAGTAACTTTTTATATATATATATATATATATATATATATATATATATATATATATATATATATATATATTCCAGGACTTTTCAAGGAGCTTTTGGCCTATTGCTAATTTTCCAGGACTTTTAAGGTTTCCAGAACCTGTACGAACTCTGCCTCATCCTATTTAAGTTTTTTGTATTGGATAATGTTAAATTGTTATACTTCCAAGAATTAAATTTCAATCTTTATTGCAAATAAGATTACTGATGAAAAGCACACATACTTTTAAATGTTTGGAAGATGGGTCAGATTGTCATAAGTTTGTTTTAGTAAAGAAAATATTTACATATCAAAATAATTGAACTCTGGCAGGAGCTCAATATTTCAGATGCACTTGATAGTTTTGAGCTTAATCGTCTACAGAATCATTTCACTGCTTAAAAAAAATAAAAAAATAAAAAAATAAAAAATACTTTTTATTCTTTACAAAATTAAAAACATTAAAATAGGATTTATCTCTATGCCCAATATTTTTTTAAAAACCATCTGGTTAATTGTTCTCCATTTGATTATTATACAAAAAATAATTTCAGTTGTGATAGGGCTACACTAATGATTAGAACATCCAATAGATGTAACTTTTAGTGATGAATGTAGAGCTACATTGGTTGGACCCAATGGCTGCAGAATCATGGCTATCAAATGTACTGTAACAAAGGTTGGGTCCTTCAATACAATTTAGAAGACAACAAAGGAAAATAGAGTAATGTTTTTGGATAGTATTGCAGGCATTAAAATTATAGGTAATTTTAAAATTGATGATGGTATCAAGATAAATACAGGGAATTATTTTAAGTTGTTGGGTAAGATTATTTTTTGTTTTTTGAGTGGCACATGTCAGAACAATGAAGATTGGAGAAAAAAATGTATATTCATGCAGGAATATACATTTTTTCTCCACATTTTTTTCTTTACATTCTGCAAATTGATTATAGCCAAAAAGGTTTTCAGAGACATCAAATTAATGGAATGCCTCTTCACATGTGTAAAAGAACTTAATCATTGATATTGGATATTCTTGAATCAAATATATACTTCTCCAACTTTGGATTTATTTAAAAATAAAAATTTATGTTGCACTTTATATAGAACCTGACATTCCCCGACAACAAGTTATCAATATTTTTGATAAGAATATTGATTACAAGCTGAAATTCACACAATATGTTGCTCATATAAATATGGGGTCTGATCAAAAAGTATTGGGAACTATTGCTATAAAAAGAAAATTACAACACATATCAATTCAACATTTAATCTCCTTCAAAGTAGTCCCCTTCTGAAGCCACACACTTTATCCGGTATCATTTCCATTTATGGAAACACTTCTGAAACTCATTTTATGGGGGATACTGAGCAGCGGTCTCATCGCATTCTCTTGGAGTGCCTTGAAATCTCATTCCTTTCAAGTGGGATTCAATTTCTGGAAAGAGGGAAAAGTCACAAGTAGTGAAATCTGGAGAATATAATGGTTGTCAGACCTGGGAATATTATGCTTGGCCAAAAACTGCTGCACAAGCCATGGTCACTGATGGACTCTTTGTGATGTGGTGAGACAACACACTTACTTTTTAAGCACTGCTATAAACAAATGAGCAAGAACATAACTTGGTGTGCATGCATGACAGAATTCAAGTCAATCTGTGTCAAGCAGCTTCATTCTACGTACTTTAGCATATAGCAACAGTCTCGATACTTTTTGATCAGACCTCGTATATCCTAAAAATTTTACATACTTCACTTCATTGACATAAATACTAAAATCTGACAGTGTACAACCCAAAATTATTGAATTTATTTTGCATATATTCTGAGTTGTTTAGTACATTGGTATAATGAGATTAAGAGTTTTCTGTTCCTTAACCAGGAAAAAAAAAAGGTTCAGTTTTAAGCTAAGAAAGTTTGTTCAAGGTTTCATTAGGAACAATTTCTCTTACCAGAATTTACCTTACACTACCATTAATCCACGCATTAAATATTTCTGCCACATCTAGTCTGGTGTTTCTGCTCTGTATTTAGAAATTCTTGACAAAATACAAAGAAGAATCTGTAATGTTATTGGTCCTGACCTGGCATCTCACCTTCAGTCACATTCGCACCATTGTAACGCAACTTCTCCAGGCCTTTTCTATAAATATTTTCATGGGAATTGTTCAGATGAACTTTCCTCTTTGGTACCTTGACTTTATGAATTTAAGTGCAGTCCTTGATTGTCAGTTAGGTTTTACAGTTGAAATTGCTAAATATTATCATAAGTTCTATGCTGACAGTTTATTCTGTCACACCGCTTATGGAATGCTCTCCCAGCTTCTTGTTTTCTAATCAATTTTGATCTTCAAAAATTTAAATGCAATGTCAATCATCTTCCTTAATTCATGTTTTTCTATTGTCCTCTATCCTTAATGTTTTTCTCAGGTTTTTATACTCAATAATATCTTGCATCTTAGTGGCTTTATCATCTTGCTTGGAATCTTAATGCTTTTAAGTTCTGTTTATTCTAAAATAAATAGAACTTAAAAACATTAACTAAGCAATCTAGACTCAATTTGTCTGAAACTGTTTCACACGTCATTTATTTAATCTAAATCTAACGAATATCCAAAATTGCTTTTTGCACATGTAAATGGATAAATTAAAAATTTTATATATATCTATATGGATTAACAAACATGTCATTTTGTTTATCTTTCCCCTGCATGTATCATGAATTTGCATTTAAAATCTTTTGTCTATCTCCCAAATTGGTTCCATTACTGTGGAATTTCTTTTGACAGTTTTCAAAAAATTAACCTGAGACTCATTTGTAAGCAACAATGAAAATAATCAACCAGAAAAATTCTAAACAAAAATGCTCAAGATGTGAAGCTGGTTAGAAAATCGCATCTAAAAATCAGTTTTTGATCATTGGAAAAAAAAAAAAACCTTTTCTGAGAACATCTATGAATACCCAAAATATGTTGGTAGATCAACATCAATATAAATCCTATATTCTCAACCTAATTTCTATTTGCAATGACCAAGCTCTGTTAGAATCAGTAGATGGTGGTGTTATTGTGAAAAAAAAATATCTTTTGAGAAGAGGTGACAGATATCACAGTCATATGCACTGATAATAAATATTTCATTAGAAATAGTTATGAAATATCAAAATAGAAACATCAGTTTCCACTGGACAAAATCCAATTAACACATTTAATATTACATAAAGTATACTGTTCTAATTACAGAGAAAGGAACTTTTTAAGGAACATGCACAAACAAATGGCCTTAAGCAAGAAATGAAAAGATTTTTAGCAATACAATAAATTATTTTCTGATGCTAACACATTTAAAATGGCTTTTATGAGGTACAGCGATAAATTTTCCATATGGAGTACAGATTATTGTAATGCTTAAGGTTATATTCATTCTGTATAACTTAAAAGTGAAATGTTTTTTCCTATTTAATAATAGAAACTCTTTATTCTCATTATACCAAAGTATTGAACAGCTTTCACAATTTATATAAACTAAATTCAACAATTTGAGGGATTGGTATATGGACTAGGGATTGGTATATGGACTAGGGATTGGTATATGGACTAGGGATTGGTATATGGACTAGGGATTGGTATATGGACTAGGGATTGGTATATGGACTATGTTAGATTTTATTATGCTTGTCAATACTTTCACAATAGAATTAGCACTGAGTGAAGTATGTAAAACTTATCTATGCCATTCAAACTTCTGCTTTTTTTGAGATGCAAACCAGAAGAGTCATTTATTGCTGACCAGAAAAGGAAGTTATACATGTTCAAATTATACTGTAGGAAAAAAAATGACCGAAAGGAATCTAGAGCAGTGGAGTAACAACATCTTGTGCAAAGATTGGTAAAATTGCTAATGGAACATTAGCCCTATTAAAAAAAATGTCTTATGGTAAACATGCTATAAAGGAATTGGGATTTTAAGTCCATAAACACACAAAGAGAGTAGTCGTGGGGCCAGAAAAAAAAATCAAAAATATCTATTGGAAGGAAGGAAACATCAATGCAGGAAAGAAAAACAATCAGCAGCAATTAAAGGTGTTTATCAAAATTAAACAGAATACAGGTAACAGATTATCCAATTTCCAGAAAACTGGACTTACCAGAAAACTGTCTATTTTTGAAATTGCCTAGTTTTCAAAATTTGTTGTAGTTTGCTACTCGATTGCTTTGTAGGAATGGCCACAGACTTGTTTCAAAACTGGCACCCACTAACAAAAAAAAAACTATTCAATCATAATAGTTTGAACAATTTTCATTAATTTAGAAAAAGTTTTTAATTGCTTTTATAAGATATGTTATTGACACTACTGCTTTAAGAAAAATTTTTTTTTAAATGAATACAGAATTATTTTGATTTTTTTTCTAAATCTTAAAATTCTGTATTAATTTGTACCATTTAGGTGATATTGTTATTAAGTAAAAGCTAAATGGAAAAGCTTACTACAATTCATGGATTCCCAATATTTTAAAATTATTTTTAATTTTTTTGTAGATATAAAGGTGTCAATTTTTTGTAAATACAGACATTCATACACAATATTATCAGAAAATATGTGCAGTAACTATAGTAAGTTTAAAGCAAAAGTACCTAAAATTCAATAAAAAAATATTAGATTACAAACAATATTTTCCTAAATTTGTAAGATTACTGAGTAGTAAAGAATTACATAAAAAAGGCACTCACATTATATTCCTGAAGTAATTTTACAGATACATCCCCCGTAGAAAAAAAATTAGATAAACTTTTTGATTAGGTTTTGTCAATCTGCCAACATCTAATCAAAACCAAGTAACAAAAACCACATCATTTGCAAACTTTCAACAGCAGCAACAACTCAAATGGATAGCACATGTAACTATAAGAAAATAATGACATAATCTCCCACACTACTTCAAACAATAAATTAGGAAGGAAACCACTTCATTACTAAAAAGTGCAATGACAATAGTACTGATCAATGAATGTCAAATGTTATAAAGAAATGGTTAATTACCATGACCAAACACAAAGACTGCCTAAAAAATTGGAAAATCTAGAAACCCAATCTGGCTAAAATAAGTGTTAGGTACCTGTAGTATCAATCTATCACAATGTTATTATAACCCTATTGATTTGCTAATAACCTAATTACACAATGTTCTAATTTAATGAGACTAATACATTCATTCTATGGGTTCTACAATAGTTTTAGGAGATATTTTTTTTTAAAAAAGAAAAATGTATTAACAGGCAATAGAAAAAAAAAAGGTTAAAAACAATGAAAACTTATGTAGAGGAAAGTTTGAAGTTATTGTGAAACAAAGTTCAATCTTCAGTGGAAGACTGATTATGTAAAGATTGTTGAGTCCATGTACTGAAAAAGGCCAACATGGAAAAGAACTTGGAAGTTGAATACTGTTACCAGTTGTGGCTTGTAATGCAGTGGATCATGTGCAACAGAAAAAACAAATTTGACACTCACAGTAGTTGGCAAAGTTGACATAGCTTTCTTAAATATCTCTTCTAAACTTTGTTACTTGGTTGGAATAATGTAAAACAACAAAAATTAAAAGTGATTTGCTGCTGGCATGCATGTTGTCAGGTGATCAACAATGGCGGAATCAGTTGGGCAAGATGATATGATGTGGAAATCTGAAACTATCAATGAACCCAGTATTAGAATCACTCATGATGAACCTGAGTGCATCTCTGTGATATTTATTGGGAGAGCAAGATATATATATATATATATATATATATATATATATATATATATATATACATATATATATGTGTGTGTGTGTGTGTGTGTGTGTGTAAGTATAAAAAGATAAATTTTACCTGTCTTAAGTTCTGGGATGAGGAGTTATCACTTGCTTTCCAGGCAAGTTTGATCTCCAAAAATCTAAATGCAATGTCAATCATTATCTACTGTTTTACTGATTACTCTTCTATTGTTTCTCACTCCTCAATAATGCTTCCATTTTTTAATTTCAGTAACCCCTTGTGTCTTAGTGGCTTTACTGCCTTAGATCTTTGCTGTTATCACAAAGTCTCAGCAGATGTGCCCTGGGTAACATTCAGGGAATTTTCAAGTGAACCTTTTATTTAATTTACCGATATAGATTGTTCTTGTTCTGCTGCTCACACCGAGTTTGTTTTTTAGTACTGTGTGGTTATTGCTTGCCCTATTTCCACTGATTTCACATACACACTGCCAAGCCCAGTGGAATCAGGAATGAGCAATAACTGAACAGTATTAAAAAAGAAAAAATAGACATTGACAGCAGAACCTGTCATGACCCAGAATTAAATTTGTTCTAAACTTATGAAACATAAAAAAAAAAAAAAAAAAAAACAACTCAAATCTACTTACTGACAGTTTAGTGATACAACATCACACAAGACACATTTTATATGAGCTAGTTTGAGGTTTATTTGACAAGTTCAGTAAAAAAATTAAGCACTTATTCGAGGAAAAAATATTTTCTATTAACAGTCACTGTAACGTCCATGCAGCTGAGCCACTGACCAGCTCCTGTCATTTCTCCAGTAGGTATTCATTTATACATAGCATGACCATCAGTGTCCTCCAACTTGAACACTCACCTTTGCCAGACACATGGCTATTGATTCCATTAGGGAAACTCCCAGTCCTGGCCATAGATTTCAGCCTAGGAAGACCTCCACCCAGTGATGTCATACCATCAGAACCCTGGGTATACTGCCAGTAATTCAGCTCTATGTGTAGCTACAGTCTGCAGCTTGTCAAAAACTCACTGTAGTTACCATCGCTTGATTGAACTCCTCATTGCTGAGGACAGTGGAGCACATGGAGTTGCTTACATAGCTTATTGCGTCCGACACTAAACAGAATTGGGGGGGGGCAGATTATGATGTAACTTCGACAATCTAAATACATAATAAAACAAAAATTATTCATCTGAACTACAAGTTTCACGGATACCTTTTTATGCCCAACATTTGGCAAAATTTCTTAGTGAAGTTCATTTTTTTTCTTAAAAAAAAAAAAAAAAAGAAGTTATTTTTATAATGTTAGAGATCTGCTAAGGGTTTAATCACCACTGATGTTAATACTGATAATTTCAGATCTTTCAACATTACACCACCTTACCCAAATCTGCCCATAAATATTGGCTCTAAAATATTCATTCCATCCATGCATACACTGCTATAATATACAAGATCATCACAAATAACATAGTAAGTTGCACAAACAGTGAGACACTGAGATTCAATGGATTAGGTTTGAGCACATTGAATGCTAAAGGGTTATACTGAAACCATGTATAATATAAAAATTAAATATTAATAGAATAGGTTTTTCTTTTATTTTGACATTTGTTTAAATTTTAATATTAAATTCACAATAACCAATTCAATTGTCTACACAAACTTCATCCTAAGTACTATTATGTTCTTCAAAAATGAATGCAAGTTATGTCTATTTGTTTCCACATTTTTTAAGATTAAAAACTCACACAAGGTGTGTAAAATTACATACTATTTTAAAGCTTATCTTATGCTCTTTCTATTTAATCCATTTTTAACATGAATTGCATTTTTTTGTCAATTTTCAGCTCAAACAAGATTTTTGCTAAATTTAATCCATTAAACTCTTTGACTACAATGCAGCACAAATGGCTAGAAAGATCAATGAATTTTGGAGCCAAAGTAGTAAAGACAATGTACAGTGCAATATTGGCTTCAAAAATAACATCATGGCAAATTCACTCTTGAAGAAAAGAGAGGCTGCAGATGCTAGCCTGCTATTGACAACAATGAGTTGAAGTCTTTGGTGAAAGCAAATCTTTGCACAACTGTTCAACTGATGTAAGCATTGAGGAGAGAGACAGATGTAAGCATTGAGGAGAGAGACAGATGTAAGCATTGAGGAGAGAGACAGATGTAAGCATTGAGGAGAGAGACAGATGTAAGCATTGAGGAGAGAGACAGATGTAAGCATTGAGGAGAGAGACAGATGTAAGCATTGAGGAGAGAGACAGATGTAAGCATTGAGGAGAGAGACAGATGTAAGCATTGAGGAGAGAGACAGATGTAAGCATTGAGGAGAGAGACAGATGTAAGCATTGAGGAGAGAGACAGATGTAAGCATTGAGGAGAGAGACAGATGTAAGCATTGAGGAGAGAGACAGATGTAAGCATTGAGGAGAGAGACAGATGTAAGCATTGAGGAGAGAGACAGGCGTAAGCATTGAGGAGACAGACGTAAGCATTGAGGAGAGAGACAGACGTAAGCATTGAGGAGAGAGACAGACGTAAGCATTGAGGAGAGAGACAGATGTAAGCATTGAGGAGAGAGACAGATGTAAGCATTGGAACAATTTGTGAACATTTGAACTAGTTCATAAAGTTGAAGCAGCTTGAAAAATGAGTGTCACACAAACTAAATGAAAACCAATAAAAATCACTGTTATGAAGTTGGTTCTTCACTTAAACAATCCATTTCTTCTTCACAATGTGATATGCAATAAAAAGCAGATACTAAGCCTTACTAATTCAACTTATAGCTGGAGGGAGAAGAGGTGGATCCTCACCTTTCCCAAGAGTATTTACACATAAGTGAATATAACAAACCCAACTGTAATTGGAACTAAGCTCTTTGATTAACAATTCCAAAACTTTTTACATTGCACCATCCACACATCCAAGCCCCTGGTATTCCTAAGTGCTCACTCATCTAGGTACATCAGTTCCTTAACTTTGGTGAACATACAGGAACAGGTGGTTTCAACGGGATATGGCTATAAGCCCGCTTCTTGTAAGGAAAAGTTTTTAAGCAGCAGTCATAAAAAAATGCCTTTAACGAACTCATTGCCTCCAGAATTTCAGAATTCTAAATTACAAAAAACAATAAACTTGTTGGTAAAAATACATAGATTCTAATGGTTTTATTTCAATCAACAAAGCTTGTTCTGAAATATGTTATTTTAAAGATAATGTTTAAAAACCTTAAACATTCTGAAGAACCTGATATATACTGTGTGTGTGTATGTGATATATATATATATATATATATATACACACACACATTTACTTCTTTGAAGAAACACATGTGAGAAATAACTAATTTAGTAATGTCTCAGTGCATGTTAGGAAAATTGTTCTTGTAAAAATGATTGTGCAGTGAACACAAATACAGGAAAACATTTTTAAATTATGTTCCCATTCAAACAGATTAGGTTGAGTCATACGTAATTTACATTTATAGGAACCAATTGTAATGATGAACATATCACGCTAACTACTAGTCATAGATGGCAGTTAATAAATTTGAAGTAAACTAACATATGGACAATATTCAATGTGAAAATCAATTGAACGACAAGGAGAAATATCTAAAACTGACCCCAAAAGTCAAGCTCCATGGATGAAAGTTAATCTGTGTGTAGTGAGATTGTTAGGGTATTATTCATTTAGAGGTTTTAAAATGCAATGAAAATGTAACAGAGAATTGGGTCAATGCAATAAGAGACCCAGAGTTGGTTGCATATGGTACTGTAGGCTCCAGGAGTTATGTCCTTTTCCACAATTGGCTGTTGAGAGAAGACCTACTTACGGTAGGTGGTTCCAACTATTTACATATGAACAATACCGAGCAGGTAATAGCCAATAGTCTGCATGGATCTGGGACTGGGAAAGCTATAAAACGTCAGTTTTTTTTTATCAGTTGGGTGGAGTGTTGCTCTCAATGTGCAGACATGTGAAAAATCAGACAAGACGAACAGAAAATAAGTACATATTTATAGACCCAGCAGTTGCAACATGCCCCAAAAACATTTGATCGAAAAGTGAAAAGTGCTCTGCACTCATCAATTGGAAAATTGTTGTTCACTGCCATGACAACAATAGGCTGCATACAGCAAGAACAACACAAGAAAAAATACTGGAACTGGCTTTACATTTTCAACCCCAACTGCCATATTCACCTGACTCAGCATCAACTGATTAATTTTTTTAGTTTCGGATTGCTGCAAAATACTTTGATGGGGGAAAAGTTTCTCTAATGAAAACAAGATTCAAGAGTTCATTGAAAACTTTTTCTTATGAAAACTTGTGGAATTTAATCAATAATTGAATATTTAATTGTACTCTATTTTTTGAAGAATTAAGTTCATAGACAGAAAGAAATTAATCATAACTCAAACTAATCATTATATATAATAAATGTATATTATACACATATGTGTATAAAATATAATACAGAGCTATTAGTAAATCATAGGTCACAAGTTTGACATCATTTTAATGTAACATGGTAAATTTACTTCAATATATTCCTCCTCTTGATCGCATTTGTTACAATGAAAAATAATGCATTAAGTTTAATAATCAAGGAGGTCACTTAATTAACAATACTGTTTTTTTATGTATTAAAATAGAGACAAACATTGAAGGTAACATTTTATACTGAAACTATCAGAAATTGTAGTCCTTTTCCTATTTTCTAATCACAAATCAAATTTCCATGTCTGTTTAAAAGTATTTTTGTTATTTTTTGTTTAAACAAAATGCCTTTGACAGTAATCTTTGTAGTTGATAACAGATGACTTAGTCAATGAACAACTGAATCATTTTTCTTAGAATGAATGCAATAAAAGAGCATAAAGTTAAGGGGATTGATTACCTGAAGAGTCATTATTACATCATAAGATTCATTTTTATAGCAATTCTACATATCAGGCAGGTACATTTTTTCAGAAGGAAACGGTTTTTTTTTGTTTTTTTTTTTATCAGAAGCAGAATATTTCTGACAACATTACAACAATTTTAAGAGAATTTTATTTTTGCTTTATTTTGCAAACCTGGTAAATATTTAAGCATGAAAGAATATTTTTTTGTGATAAGTTGACAATACATTTAAAATGGATGAATGTGGCTGATTTTTTTTTTTTACAATTAATCAAGGGGGATGCTAATTTACACGTGACTGAACTGGTGAACTTAGATGGTAGATTATAAATATTGAGGCAATAACAGTTGGAACTACAAGAATAATGAATCCCTGCATTACGAGTAACGAAGAACCGAACTATTTATAAAGAGAATTTAGTAGGCAAGCAAAAAAATCCATTTCAACCCAAGAATAATAATGACGGTGAAGGTCTATAATTTTTGACTATCTTAAGTGAAAACAGTAGCAGCAGCACCATACAGCGACTGAATGCCAAACATGGGTCTTTAAACTGTCGTTATAGTGTCGTAAATAATAAAAAATGGGTATTTATGAAAAATATTCAAAATATCTACTTTAGGTGTGGTATCAGGGGCCATTGCAAACAAAAGCTTATATAAACTTTTTGTATTTGCATATATAGCTTATTTAGACATGTGTGTATTATTGACTGAGCAATTTAGTACAGTAAGTAGTGTGTTGTAATTATATGTGCATCCGTGTTTTCGGAGTTAACAAGGAAATTGAAATTTAATGTTATTGTTTACTAACGACAGCAGTAGGAAAAATACAGACTCAATGTAACCAAAATTTGCATAAAAAAATAGATATTTTTAAGTACGACTTTTTCCGATCGTTATCCCGATGGACGAAAAAGACCTTTAATTAAAAAAAAAAAAATGTGGACAAACATTTTTTTTATCGCAAAGTTGTGTGTGTTTGAAATAAGCGAAACATTATATAACGGTTTCAAAAACATAACCTGATACAAGTTACCGAAAAATAACAATGTTATACAATTGATTATTCATAAAAATCGGGGATCAATTTGTTATGCATCATATCTTCTAAAATGGTCACTCACTTTAGGGCCACATTGAGCTGTACGTGGCGAATGATTTTCACCACGCATAAAAATAAATCCTCTTAGAATAATAATATAGCATATCAGAGATTTATTGACAGAGAAATCATGAACCTTGTTATTATTGTACAAACATCTCTATTTTTCTAAACATTCGCATGCGAGCACTTTTAAAACAATAACAACAGGTGTACGAACGAAGTGATTTGATTTTTAGTTAGAGAATCACACATCAATAGGAAACCATCTATAAAAAAAAATGTGTAAATAATTCTACATTCAAACACTTAGAGATTTAACAAGAAAAGGCCACAAAGATTTTTGTGGAAATAGAGAAGGAATGACAAGCCAATAGAATAAACTACACGCATTTAATAAAACAAAAATAGTTGCTCTCTAGTACTTGTTTTGTTAATAAGCACAAATCTTCAGCTGGAGTTTTAAAACAAAGAAGCCCTCTTGGGATAGGGACTAAAAACTTAAAAAAAAAAAAAAAAAGAAAGTTTGTTAGTGAAAATGTCTGATTTCCAGGAAGGATTGAATTAAATGGCTTTAAAATATCATAGGCAGAGTTATTTACAAAACCTAAGAGGGAATTAAAGTATGGAGTTAGAGAAAGTGGGGGAGATTAATTTACACGTTGAATGGGACAATCGTTTTTTTTGTTTTGTTTTGTTTTTTCAGAGAAAATAAGGCGGATGACTGTTCTTTTTTTTTTTACGTAGTCATAAAACTACAAAGACAGATATCTTCAAAATAGTATATAAAAGAGGTTTTTTTCTTATTTTACTGAGAAAAAAAAAATAAGGACAAAGCGGCGGCGAACTATATCTATTCACTTAGTTTATCCTTTAATTAAAAAAAAAAAAAAACGAAAACAAAATTAGGTCCCCCACTTTATGGTCACAGCGAATTCATTATAAATTAATAAATGAATGTGTAAATAAATACTTATTTTATATACAAATAATTGTCCCAGTTTAAAATAATAAAAAAAATATTTCGAATGTAACAGAATGATTTTAAAAAATAAATAAATAAAATAATTTATTTTTTATTCCATTTTAAAAAATACTGGTCACATAGGGATATAGATTAAAAAAAAAAAAAAGTTATTTTTTTTCACTTTTTTTTTTTAACGACATTTATTTATTATTTCAATTATTTCGTTTTATTTTTAACTTTATTGTTTCTGGTTTGATGATTGCTGTACGTACATCCGTAGAATTTGTAAACAAATACAATGAAGAAGCCTTGTTTATATCACCGGAAATATTTAAAATTATTTGGGTCATGCAAAATAGAAGAAAACATCCCAGTAATATTGAAGACATTGTTATTGTTTGTCAATATGGCAGGATTTTAAAATATATATTTAAATAGAGAAAGAGAAAAAAAAAAGGGGGGGAATTTTTAGAGCTGAATTATATATTTACACACAAAGCCGACACGAGAAAAGGAAGGAGATAGTTGCAGTTAAGATTTCTCCTACCACCTCTAAAATTATCTACTCTTCCCATTCCTCTTCTACTCCCTTATCTTTTGACATGGGCCTTCCTCACACCATTACAACTGCTTTTCTGCCTCTATTTCGCTCTCACTTCCCCCTTCAGTGCTTATGCCATTTAAACCGGACCGGCGACTCGACTAGGAGCATATTTTCGACATATATATATATATATATATATTTTTTTTTTTTTTTCCTCCTCATTATAATTAACTACAGATTTTTTTTTTTTTTTTTAACAAGGGGTGCTTTTAAAAAGTGACTATGCATAATATTATGAAAACACTTTTTTTTTTTAAAAACAAGTTTTGAAAACATTAGTCGGAAAGAGAACAAAACAAGCAGTGGTCGTGTCAGATGCACGATTTGATGAACTAGATTCGATAAAACCGCTTGGAATAATCTTTTCTTTTCTGTGTTACTGTTAGTGTTGTTGTATTTTTTTTTTTAACCAATTCGTCTCCAATGCAGATAATAACGCGGTCACATGACCGAGAATCCTTTCCTTAACCACCCTCCACCAAAAAAAAGAAAAAAAGATTTCGAACTACAAAAAAAAGTAAAAATATAACCAACATAGTAGCTATCTTTAACTGAATTGTTCGTATTTCACCTGCTACCCAGAACAAAAGTTCGACACTACGCGGTTACGGTATTTTTTTACCCTACGATCGTATATAAAGTAAAAATATTAATGAAACTGATAATTTTACATAGATAACGTTTTTGTTGCTATACGAGACCGCGATTAATATATATATATATATAATATATATATATATATATATATGTATGTTATATATACACACGACCACCACAAACTGGTTATGGACCACTTTCACATTTCTGTCCCCCCCCTCCCTGCCTCACACCGACTTTCGTGCAGCTTTTTTTTTTTTTTTCTCTTTTTCTTTTTTTGTTTCTTTCTGCTGACCGGACTTTGTGTTGGAAGCCGGACATTCTAAGGAACCTAAGTTAGGGATCGGGAATCTGTCTTACCTACTGGACCCCCTCTTCTCATCCATTGACGCTCGTTTCGTGGGGATTTTTACAATGAAACGGTCGAAGAACGAACGGCGGCCGCCAACCAACACAGTATTGCTGGGCGTCGGAACACGGAAGATGGCGGACGGGACGGTCATGTGACCAGCGACACGCACTACCATTGGCTACTGGACGATGCCACTGTTACATCATCGCGCGCGAGATTGTCTGTCTTTGGTTCTCCTTGTTCTTTCTCTCTTGAAATGTATTGAAAATTCCCCCCACCCGCGTTTATTATTTATCTTTTTTTTTCTTATTTATATTTAATTAAAACATTGTTTTTCCTTTTGTCGATATCATTTTTCTATTTAATCATGTTAAAAGTGGAATGTATTCCTGATTTATTTTTTGTTCTCTTTTTTTATTTTATTTTGTATATTTTAAAATACGCGCACATATGTATATGTTTTAAAAAAAAGTTATTTAGCTTTACAGAGTAAAATTATTTTTATTATAAAATTTTCTGTCAGAAAAATGCTAGAAAAACCTTAAAAATAAATTGATAACATTTTATAATATTTTTCAGTTCAACTAAACTTTTTTTTTTTTTTAAGTCAAAAGTAGTTTTTTTTTTGTTTATTTTTATTTTTTTATTAGTAGCAGCCCAAAATTAGCAGTGGATATTATTGAATGACTAGGCTGGAGTTTGTAATAATATAAAAAAAATTATTAAAAAAAATGTAAGGATTTTGTGAGCTACATTAAAAAATCTCACATACATATATAATTGTAGAAGAAGCTCCCCAAAATAAGATCAGTAATTTTGAACTTAGAATAAATATAATTAGATAGTAACTCCAAAACTAATTATGTTTGTATCCCTTGAAAACAGATAAATCCTGAGACTTTGCAACAGGTCATAGTCAGTCAACACAAAAGGCCAGTTTGTCTACATACATCTGTACCAAGTGACCCCCTTTACCCACATAGATAAATGAAGTGGTTAGAGCTCAAAAGACTCACTGAATATTGAAACTACATGACAGTTATTACAAGTCAGTATAGTAAAATTTATTTTTCCTCTATGAGTAATGACATTCAATAAATTTATGGACTTCCATTATATCAGACATGATTATTTGTAAGAATATTTAAAATTTTTCATATTCAGAAACAAAAATTAACTTACATATTTATATAAGAAGAATCTTTGTTGTGAAAATGTAAATAAATTGCGGTTTTTAATTTTATACCAATGTTTTGAAGTTTAAATACTATATTAATTGTGAATTACCAATGCCACTATTTAATAGGAGTAGATAGGTTCACTTATCATCCAGTTCACACTCCTCCCTAGTCTGTTAAACAGGAGTAGAAGTTTATCTCTTGTTTCCTTTTTAGAATTAGGTTTCTGGTTCCTTCTAAAGTCTACTACTTCAACTTTATACTTTTATCATTTCTGCCTGAACTCTGAAATTTTATTTCCTAATTAATTATTTTCTCCTTAATATAAATAGATAGACTTACCTATTGTCTGGTTTGCACTACTCCATGATCTTTTGAACAGGAATAGAGGATTATCCCTTGTTTCCTGTTTAGGTTTTCTAAAGTTTTTTATCTTCTCTTTCATTTCCAGTAGCCCCTTGTGTCTTAGTGGCATTATTGCCTTGCTTTGGGGTGAATTTATTAAAAAAATATGCTGATCCTATAAAAAGAACTTTAAATGCAATCTTTCTGATAAAAGGTGTTTAGTTTCAACAGATTTAAAATATAAATCTCATATACTTCTATGTACTTTTTTAAATATCCATTTAGTAAATGCATTTGAATATATATCTGTTGAATTTTCCTCAGTAAGATAGTTATACTTATTTAAAAAATCAACGATTAATGAACATAATGTTAGGTTATTTAAAAAGTAATTATATTTTACCAGAATGGATATAAAAACAAGTGTAAGTTAAATATTTAGCAAAAATGTAATCAACAAAATGAATGTGAGTGTAGTGTTTAATCAACACAGAAATTGGAATCGGCGCACCGAGTTCAAATTCTGTCTTCTGCTGCATTCACTTTCAATTAATACCCTAAGGAGGAACATGAATCAGTTCCTTTGTTCAGTTGTTAAACAACAGGATAAATTGGCATTCTATTTGTCGATATCAACTATTCTAGAAAGAAAACAAGCTCACGGTAATTTGCAGATAAAGAAAAAAAGAATCTGTAGCAAAGTCATACTTGCCTGCGCCCTGAAGGTGCATGGCTTTAAAAATAAGATAACTCTGTAATTAGTAAAAATTAAATCCAAATTACAGGATCTTACCATCATCATGGGAAACCTGAATTCCAAGATCAAAAAGAAACAAGAAGGTGAAAGAGTTGGCAAGTTCAGACTAGGAACCAGAAATAGATATGGCAAAAAATGGGCCCAATAGTGCACAACAAATAATCAAGACCTGGTTTCAAAAACACCCTGGCCACTTATGGAGATAGAGAAGTTTGAAACATGTTTGCATGAATGGATGGCAAATGGATAAAGAGAGATTGTATTCAAAAGTTACTTAGTGTAAAAAATGGCAGGAAATTGGGCAGAACCATGATCACCACACCCTAAAAGCACATGACACATAAAAAGAAGGCTGCTGATATGATAATTTAGTCTTTTGAGTTTTTGTAGCAAGCACACAAATATAAAGAAATATCAAATATTGTTGGATACTGACCACACAATACTAAGTTACAAATTGAACTATTTCTTTATTCTTCAAATTAAAGTATTACATTGGTATTATCCTAATGCAAATCTTGCTACAAGAACCATTTTTGTTCCATTACTGTTACGAACACACAAGCAGAAATCAGATTAAGAAACAGGTAAATTTTGTGAGAAACAAAAAACAAGTGTGCCGAACTCCTATGCAAAACCAATCCTCCTGTTTGACACATAATACTGGACCCACAAGTGAAGAGAAGAGGCAACAAAGATGTCATTCTACAGAAGGTTATGGAGAATACTACATAACAGAGCATGTGAGTAACAAATAAGTTTTAAGAAAAATTGGAAACAAATTGGATACTTGATGGTTGAACATTATGGGATACATAATGAGGCTTGGAAATTTTAAGGTGCGCAGGTCATATTGAAGGTGAAAATGTTTTTTTGATTGATTAGTTTTCTACGGTTTATCAACCCATTGCAGGTTATTTAAATATTTTTAGATTGTAAGAATTTTCTTTTTGGAAACAATGATTTAGTGATACAAGTTTTATTAATTAACCCATAGCTGGGGGAAGAAAAGGTGGATTCATACCTTTCCCAGTGGCATTTGTGCATAAGTGAATATAACAAACACAACAGGAATTGGAATTTGGCTCTCCAATTAACAATTCCCATCTATTACACCCCCTATGCATCCAAGCCAGTATTCCCAGGCAGTTACCCATCTAGGTACTGACCAGGCTTGACATTACTTAACTTGGTTGATCATACAGGAACTGGTGAAGATGAGAAGAGTAGAGGAAAACAGCAAGTAATTTAATTAACTATCTTGTATAAATAGAAGGCCGAACTGAGAATGTAAGGGAAAAAAGCTACAAAGGATAGAAAATTGTGGAGAGCTATAATCACCTATATGTTGATGGGACACCAGCTCATAAAAGGAGATAATATGTACTTTGTAGTATTACTTTATATATGTATCGGTCATTCAGCCTGGTCTCTCTTACTTACTAATGATATGGTAATAGATAGCATTGTTCAATATCAATAAGTGAACATACCTTGTGTTAAAATAATATCAAATTTCGCATTACAACGTATTTCTAATACATGACATTCTTTTTGTTTTAAATTAGCATTTTATGGGATATTTTTATTTTGGAGGAATTAGCAGAATTTTTCCTTGCATGAGACAATAGTTAATCATCTACATCATCACTTCTTAAATTTTTTTCATTCATGGCCCCATTTGTCATCACAAGATTTTTTGCAACCCCAGGTATTAATCAACTACACTGAAAATACATACATCATCACTGCACTAGTCACAATGGCACTATATGCATATTTTATTACCGCAGCACTTACGTGGCACATCATGTTAAATATTGTGCATTTGTGAAATAACAGATAAACTGAAATCGAAGTGTTTGAAATTGAAGTGTTTAAAACTTTCATTTTTATTTGGGGTCACGGACCATAGTTTAAGAAGTGCTGGTCTAGATAAACATCCTAGAATTCACAGACAGGAAATTTAATCAATGCAGTTACAAAAGTATTTAAATATTTTTGTCATTTTTTGACAGTATGATTAAAGTCATTGACATATATATATAGTAATGGTAATACTTGTTTGGAAAAAACCTCAGATACCTCAACTTGTAGATATGTCAAAACAAATCAGTACCAGAGGAAAAAATTGGAAATAAAAATAGAAGTAACTAAAAACTTCGAAACGGTGAAACAAAATCGTCCAGTGCGTAAGTCTTTAGTCCAAAGAAAAATCCACAAGCAAATAGTAAGACTAAAAAATAGGGTGCTCAATACACTAAGTAGAGTGGGAATAACTAAAATAAATCCTAAAGAGCCCGGAAAACCTACTTAGGTTTGACCTAAATGGATCTTCAGGCTAAGCTTACCCTAAAGATCTGTTTAGGTGACCTGGCTATTTTAGGATTTTAGTTATATATATATATTTTAAGACATTTTTATGTTTATACATTCTTTTTATAGATACAAATATTTAAGTAAATGCTCTGTTTATAATAAACAGTATTAAACAATATTTACCAGCCTGTATGTCTGAGAAATTATCACAGAAAATATTCATCCTCCAACAGGATTCGAACCTGTATCCTATATGGAACTGTCATTTAGCTTGATGTGCCTCTACTGATTTGGCCACAGTAGAGCGTTTGGTTAGCAATGTTGAATTTACTGTATTTAAACTTCAATCTTCCATGAATCTCTCGCGTACATTCATGTCTGCTCATGGCGTATCAAATGTAAACAAATGACATCACACATTATAAAATGGACAAAGTCCAACAATAATTTAATATATATATATATATATATATATATATATATATATTTATTTATTTATATATATATATAGATAGATATAGATATATATATATATATATAGATATATATATATACAGATATATATATATATATATA